TCTCCCAGTGGCTATCTTCCTTGCTGTAACAACTAATTCCTGCAACCTGCGACTGTGGGATTTGCCTATGGCCAACTGGAGCTGCCCAGCAATTTATGTGCTTCCCCTTCCTGCAGGCAATAGACCAGCTTCCTTACCTGCAGGTGGGACGCACTTTGTGGTACAATTCTTACTCCAGAGCTCCCCTTGGGATCAGGCTGAAGCTGGGTATGGCCTGATACCACTCCCACACGGGGCTTCTGCCCCTGCCCCACCTGGCTCCCCCTCCCCTCAGGCTCCTTTTGAGAGCGCTTCCTTAATAATTAATTTCACTTGCACACAGCATGTGCCACCTGTGTCTCCGTTTCTAAGGAACCTAACCTAAGCCAGGGGCTGTGAAGAGTAAGTAAGCCCTACAAGAAAGAGTGGGTCAGGGACTTGGGGTCTATCATGACCTCTGCACCCCTGGGCTAATTTCAGTGAGCCTCACTAGAGATGTGGAAGGCTCAACCCCTAAACCAGGGATCACAGATGCTGGCATGTGTGCTCGTTTCTCCTCTCACCTCCCACATCCATGGCACACATCACTAATAACTCATGGCCCTCGTTGGTTCTGAGTGTGAAGACCATGCTAGATTCCTTCCCAGCTCAGCACTTCAGACAACTGCTGTCCCTTGGCCAGAGCTATCATCCGTGCCCTAATTTGTTGCAACTTTGCCTCGCAAAGGTCTGTTTGAGGTTCTTACTGATAGTGGAAGTATTTGAATAAAACATTCAACCAAAAAAAAATAGTAACTTATATTTAGAACCCTAGGCATCTTTCCGGACCAAAGGTTTGCACCTCCTTCTATCACCAAGGCCTACAATTTCAGTGCCATTGTCTACTNCTCCAGGTTGAGCTGTTGTTCAGCATCTTAGCTGTGGAGGGCAGTGTCACTGGCCCTCATATGTGGGATCCGAACCGGGGCCCTCTGGCGTCCCAATCCAGTTCTTAACCATCACGCCACTCGGCCGGCCCTCATCTGTGTCATTTTGATGTCACAAATAGACTATGTGATCCTTGAGTTAGTCTGTTTTATGAATCTTCTTATTCAATATAATAGGTATATAGTAGGAGGTGCAATAACTATTGGTCATTTGATGGGAAGTATATCAAAAGCTACATATCTTAAGTAATAATCATAAATAATTTAGAGACATAGTGACAGATTTATACATGGTAATAATAATAATATGAATAAATTTAAATGGATTTTACTGCCTCATTTAGAAAAAAAAAAGGAGCAAAATACAAAGTGGCAGCAGATGGGTACATGGTCAGAAAATTGAACATCTTTGCCAAATCAGCCACCATCTGCTGGCATTCCATATTTAATCACATTCATATTTAATCACATTCCTCTGATTGCCCAGGAGGACCCACCCTGGCAGGCCTGGTGACTTGGCATCTGCTGTCCATTTTGAAGGGGCAAGACTATCATTCTATACAAGACAGATGCTGTGTGGACAGAGGGTCCCATTCTCCTGACATGGATGAATTGCATTATGGGAAGTAGCCTGTTTTACCAGCTAGGTTGCTCACAGGATTATACAATTTCCAAAGGGTGGACGCTCTCAGGACTGCAGTACCTGGGAGGGTTTCCCAGTCAGCTCATCCCTGTCTGGGGAAGTGAGACGCTTTCTCCCTCACAGCTATAGGGAGCCCTGCCTATGGGTGAACTTGCCCATCGAAAGCCTTTCTGCTGAGGGCTCAGTCAGTACACTGCTATCCTCAGGTGTGAGCCTGTGCTTTCCAAGTTGTGAAAGTCTAGTGTCACCCCTCAAGGCACAACAACCCCTCAGCACACAGTCCACTAGCTCAGAGCTAGGCCCTCCCGTGCTTTCTCCTTTAATCCTCACAATAAGCCCCAGAATTACCTTCTGTTACATCCCCCTTTTCCAGATGAGAAAAACTGAGGCCCTGACATTTAAGGTCCTATGAGGCTGGGCTTCTGAGCCGTGAGACCTCCAATTCCACAGCCCATGCCCTCTGATTTCCCCTGCTCGGCCATGGGCTTTTGATGGAGACCCTGAATTCTGCAGCTGGACTCTTCAGCGTCAGGAGCAAATCTCCCCAGCCACCGAATAAGTGGGATTAGAGGAGAAGCGAAGCATCCTAGGAGGAGGAAAATGGCCTGGACTCTGAACCTCTCACCATCATTTGGAACAATGTTGCAACCAGTAACTGAGGGCTTATGCTCCAGGCTTAATGCAAAGCTCTGTACCGATTAGCTCGTTGAATCCTCACTGCCATCTAATGAGATAGGTATTCTTGTTATCCCCATCCTACAGAGGTGGAAACTGAGGTGTTAAGAAATTAAACCAAGACCACTTGGCCAGGATCACTCAGCTAGTGGATCTGAGAGATTCCCCCGAAGTGCTGAGCTTGAACCCCACGCCTTTCGCTCTCACATCATGGATACTTGGGTGCCAATGCTCAGAAGAGAAACACGTGCCAAGGCCCTTTCATTGTGTAGGTGCTAAGTCTGTAAAGTAGCAAGCAACTTATTAGCCACAAAGTCAGAGAGAAAGTCTAAAGCTAAAAGGATCTTGGAAGTCTGGTCCATCCTTTCATTTTACAGATGAGGAAACAGTCTCCCAGAGAGGAAATGGCTTGTCCAACATACATGTGTGTCCTAGGAGTTACTGGCAGTTCCAAAGAAATAACCCAAGTGTCCTGAATTTGACCTCAGTGCCTTAGCACTGGGCCACAATGCCTCTCAAAGACCATTAGTAAACAGGCAAATTGTGAAACCCACTGACTCTCCAGCGTCCCCACACCTCCTGCTACTTGGAGCTGAACAAGAGAGCCTTAGCAGCAATCACCATGGCAGCCAGGTCTACGCATGTCAGGAAGGAAGGTACGCTCTTACTTTCAGGGCCGCCCAGCAGAAAAAGTTCCGGCCAGGGCAGTTGACTGGGATAATAAGGGAAAAAAAAGAAAAGAAACCATTTACCCCAGATATTCTGCAGAAAGCATTTCCAGGGCCCAAACTGTCCAGACAGCCATCTTGGCTTTCCACTTCTCACTTTCTATGGGCGGACACGGAGCGTGAAAGAGCGTGTCACCTAAACCCACACCACTCCCTCAGGACCCTGCTGCTCCCCGGACACAGAGAACATTCATTTTTTCCACCATTTACTTTCCCTACCATGACCTTGCCTGACACAGCTCTCAGAAAGACAAACAGGAGGGGAAAGGGTTGTGGTCCTCACGTGGCACCCCCCTAAATCCTAAACACTAACCCCAACAGGGGAGAATTGGGTTTCTGGCTGACCACAGAGAATTGGGAAGCCTTTTGGGGGCCACCCCGGTATGGATGATTTCTGTTTGGGCACAAAGGGGCAACCCAGTTTCTTTCTTTTTTGTTTATTTATTTGTTTATTTATTTATTTATTTATTTATTTATTTATTTATTTATTTATTTCGCTGAGCCATCCTGCCACCTGTTGGCAGCTCAGCAGCAGCTCAGCTTGGGCCAGGAATTGAACCGCTATTGCTCAGAGCTCAAACTCTTGAGGAAGCTCTTAACCAACTGGCCCCAACCAGTTTCAATCCTCAACAATAATGACCTACCCCACAGGTCCCTCACACAGTGGACAAGTTCAAACACTTGAACAAACCCTGGGTCACAGTAAAGTAAGAAAGCCCCGGTCGGGCAGGTAGGTCTCTACAGGTAGAATGGCCATTGTCACCCCATCCCCTCCCCTCCTGGGTCCCCAAGAAGCCCCATGCCAGGCCTAAGACCCCTGGAAGGTCCCTCCAGGAACATGTGTCCCAAGAGAGAACTACCAGGTGCAGCAGGAAGGCTCCTCGGGCCTTCTGCAGACTTCTCAGAAAGACACCAAGAGGGCCGAGTGCGTGGCACGACAGGACGAGTGGGGACAGCGGTAGGGGGCCTGGGAGGGGAGAAGCCTGTCTGACCTGCATTCGTGTTTCTTTCTTTTCTCTCTTGTTTCAGACCCCAGCTGGTTTATGGTGGAAAGCTGTCAGCAGCCACGAGGCCTCTCCTTCAGCTGTCGCCAGCTCCCAACACACAGTCACGCTTGTGCTTATGTTGGTTGCTGTGGAGACATAAGTGCAGGTTTGAATGGAGCTGAATGCTCCTGGGCTGGGAGATGGAATAGGGCCAGGTGTATTTTTAAAGCCATGTGGGAAAGCCAGTCACCACGAGAAGAGAGTCCTTCCCTGGCTTACGTGTCCCTACTTTAGGGACTGATTCACAAACACAAAATGAATAAAAGCTGAGCCCCTCTTTTTACCTTAACTCGCTGGATATTTTAAGCAAAGTTATTGTTTGGGTTGTACTTGGGACTTTTGCCTTTTGACACAAATGCATCTTAGGGGAAATCATGACCTCTTGGCATGTGGACAGACACTGTGAGGTGCTGGGAAAAAAATGATAGAAAAGGATTACTATACATGAGGCATTATTTGAAGTACTTTATATTCATAATTAGCCCCCTTAGACTTCAAAACCAACCTATGAGTTAAATCCTACTTTTAGCCCCATTTTCTAGATGGGGAAACTGAGGTACAGAGAGGGTGATTTGCCTGCCCAACATCACAAAGCTAAGGGAAACACAATATTTGAACCCAGGCAGCATGTGGCTAGATGCCCTACTCCTAATCACTAGGCCTTTCTGCCTCTGCAATGATTTGGGGGTCAGAAAGTCCTGATTGGGGATTTTGGCCCTAGCACTGTGTGATCTCAGGCAAGTGACTGTACCTCTCTGAATGTTAGTTTCCTTTTTGGTAAAATCAGGGGGACGGGGTAGTAATGGCTTGTGAAATTGTTGCGAAGATTAGAAGTCATATACTTAAAGAATCTAGCGGAGAGAAAGTGCTCAGTGCAGGGCAGGCAGCTTTATTAGTGTTAATGGGACTCCCAGAGCAACTGGATGCCAGCTCCTGTATCAGAGCAGGGGGTGCTGAGCTGTAACTGCCACTGCCCAGGAAGGGCGGGTGGGGCAGGCAGGCAACTGTGTGAGGGCCAGCAGAACCACAGCTGCTCTCATCAAGTATCCATGGCAGATGCCGTCTCTTCCCTGTCCATAGCCCTGAGCATTCATCAGGCCCTAGGGGCTTCCAGCTCCTGCCACAGGCACCTGTGACTATGCAATGGGCTTCTCCAGCCATGGGGATTGCTTGGTCAAGCATGTCCCCAAGAGGCTGGTGGATAAACATCCCAGCCCCCAGCCCCGTGAGGTCCCCAGGAATCTGCTCATGAACCCCCTGGTATGACCTGCCTGCCCTTCTTTACTTTGCTTTCCCAAGCCCCACTGGGATCACCTCCCAAATAAAGTACTTGCACCCAAATCCTTGTCTCAGGGTGTGCTCTAGGAAGGAGCCCAAATGAAGTCAGTTTATGTACCTGGACCTTTGACTCTGATGTCACTTACAAAAGCACTCATGGCCCCCAAAGAGGTCCAGATCCTAACTCCTGGAAGCTATAAATGTTACCTTATAAGCAGGTGTAATTAAATTAAAAAGTTAAAGATGGGGCGGTTATCTGGATGGGCCCTAAATGTAATCACAACTGTCTTTACAAGAAAGAAGCAGAGGGGGCCGGCCAAGTGGCGCGATGGTTAAGAACTGGCTTGGGAGGCCAGAGGTCCCCGGTTCGGATCCCACATATGAGGGCCAGTGACACTGCCCTCCACAGCTAAGATGCTGAACAACAGCTCAACCTGAAGCTGGGCTGCCGTGCGTCGCCGACGACGGCGTAGGCTGCAGCCCCTGTGGCAGTGGGTTGCCATGGGCTACCGTATGTAGCCAGCAGCCAGCGTGAGTGGCCAGCAGCCTCCTCCACAACTAGACTGAAGAACAAAATGACAGCAACTTGTCTGTTCCCCTTCCCCCAACTCCCCAGCACTGTTCCCATCCCCCAAAATCCCCAATAAAAATCTTTAAAAAAAAAAAAAAAGAAAGAAGCAGAGGAAGATTTGACGCAGAAGAAGAAGGCAACGTGACCACTGAGTGGGAAACCAATATGGGAACCCAGAGGCAAACTTGAGCAGTGGTTCTGAGCGTGTCTGAGGACCAGCACCGTATCAGCACCACCTGGGAGCTAGACATGCAAACTCCCGGGCCCCACTCCAGACCGATTGGATCAGAAACTCTGGGGGTGGGCCCAGCAGTCTGTGTTCTAACAAACCTTTAGGTGATTCTGATGCTGGCTGTAGTTCAATGGTTAACCCTGGTTAGACATTAGAATCACCTAGAGAGCTTTCAACACTCTGTGCCTCATCAAATGCCCCGGAGATGCTGATTGATTTTATTTAGTCTGTTCAGCCTGGACACTGGGCTTCTGTAAAGCATCCCATTCTAGAGCTGCACTGTTTCTCTATGGCTGTGGCAGCAGTGGCTGTGGATCTGAGGAAAGCAGGCTTGAGTGTGGTGAACGGCAGTGTGGGGGCTTGGCCCTGGGTTTCTGAAGGGAAAGCCTCCTACCTCTCACACCCACCTCTCTCTGTGTCTAAGCTGGAGATGAATCTACTGCTTTAATTAGAGGCTTGGGGTGGGGAGAAGTGGCAGAGATGGGACCCCTGGAGAGCCCTCTAAGAACCTTCACTGATGATTATATTATCTAAAGGAAATATGGGGAGCTAAATCGGAGGAGATGGCTGGGAAGCGCATTATGGAACATTAAACAACAGCTGATCAACATCAGACAGAAATAAATGGCCCATAATCTACTGCCAAGAACATGATTGGTTCCCAAGTAGGGGCCTGGCTGGCTTCCAGTCAGGGGAGCCCAGGGCTAGACAGCAGGTCCTACAGGCCACAAATCGCCCGCTCTGGGTCATATCCCAGCAGCCAACTGGCAAGGATTCCGGCACCCAGACAGAATTCATGTTCTTCTACATGACTCACTCTACAGGTTTGGTTTTGGGTCTTCTCACCATCTGGTCTCTGAGAACTTGACCCAAACATCATCTGGAGAGCTCCTGCCTGTCTGAGAAATCCTGTATTGGAAAAGGGAAGCCACATGTGTCTGTTTGGGTATAGGGTAGGTGGGCTCCTAATGCCTGAAGAGAATGTCTTTGAAGTGGTGGTACCTGACTCCAGGAAGGCCTTATGCCCCAAAATGCCATGGTTGAAACTCGTCTTAGCTAGAGGATACCTTAGGGGATATCCCTGTTAAAACACAAATACCTTCAAAGAAAAGATAAACCAGTATCCTGGCAAGTCATGCACACTTTAGATTGGTCATCTTTAATCTTTTGCTAAGAGCCTCAGGCATTGCTATCCTAAGGAGAAGGTAGGCGGGAATAAAGAACAAAGAGTCAGTCCAGTAATGACTATGTATGGTGCCAGGTGGGTACTAGACTTATTGGGGTGATCACTTTGTAAGTTATATAAATGTCTAATCACTATGTTGTATACATGAAACTAATATATTTATATCAACTATATTTGGAAAAAAAATTTTTTTTTAAAGAATCTAGAGTTGAGTTTTCAGAGGATAGAAGGGTAGCCTATGGGGCTTTAACAGCTAATGTCACTATTTAGCCATGGTCATAAGTAGATTCGGTCTACATTGGTAAAAGCCCCCGACTTAGAGTCAGAGGGCAGGATTCCAGTCTCCAGCTTTCCCCCATACCACTGTGTGATCTTGGGCAAGTCACTTAACCTCTCTGAATCTCTATTTCCTCACCTGAAAAGTGGGAGTGATGCCACATCCATCCCAGAAGTGCTGTGAGAATTACATAAATTGAAGTGTGTGGAAAAGGTCTGCCTGTCTATAACTATGATTGTCCTTGGGTCTGTGCCAGGATTCTAGAAACTACAACTACTGGGCTCCATCTGTGAATGGATGTTGGAACTGAGTCAATCCACAGACCCACGGCGAGCCCAGCCAGGGCCAGCCAAGCCCAGGCTCAATCAGCTGACCCCTAGTTGACCCACAAATATATGAACTTCAATAAGAAGTGATGGCTGTTTAAGCCATTGAGTGTGACTGTGGTTTATTACCCAACAATGGTTAAAACAATATACCAAAGTTAGGGCTCCTGACATTTAAAATTTTAGGGCCATGTTCAAAAGAAACTATTCTGAAATATACATGACACTCATCTGCCTTCTTAAGCAAAATCAAGTGAACACAACTCAGTCTTCATCACAGTGAGAGCCAGGTCTTGTGCTCTAGGTCAGTGATGCCATCAGGGGTTACATACAGAAGCGAGGCTCCAGGAATAATTCTAGCCTACTATTCTCTTTGATCTCAGAACTATTCCCTAATTCTTTATTAATTTTCTTGTAATCAGTTTTACCAGCTGTCTTTTCTGTTGTTGTCATTGTGTGTCTCTTAAGCCTCAGCATCGCCCCCTGCCAAAAAACCCCCCAAAAACGAATGTGCTACAGCTAATTCACTACCTTCAAGAAACCTGCTATCTAAGCCTGTTAGAATGGTTTCCAAAGTAAGAGGTAATAGGCTTTGAATAAGGGCCTGAGATTGTTTTCTGTGAATCCAATGCATGTGTTTTAGTGCTCAGATTTCTGTCATCAATTTTGGCTTCTTGGATGGTTTTTTTTTTTTTTTTGCTCCCTTCCTGGTTCTCCTCTGGGACCCGGCAGTGGAGGTTGCCAGGTAACGAGCATCTGGTCCAGGTAGCAGGTGCTGTGTCTGACGTTGTTGGAATACTGACTTTCCTGGAGAGAGTGACAGTAAGAACTAGCCTGCAGGCCTGTGAGAGCTCTTCCTCCATCACAGCCCCTCTCTGGAGAATTGGGCACGTGCTGCCTGTGCTGCTTGGGTTTCAATAGCGAGTGACCATGAGTTCCCCCAGTGCCTCTGGGCAGCGTCCTACTTGTTTCTGTGTCCCCTGTAGCACTTGGTACAGTGCCAGGCACGCAGTAGGCATTCACTAAGGCATGGTAGATGGGATGAAAGGATCTTCCAGGTGGCCCTCGTTTGTATGTGCACAGGGCTTGTCTTCTTCAGAAGAGTAAGACTCTACCAGCTTCTGAATATGGAATATTTCGCATCAAATTGTTGGAAAATGTTTTCAAAGGAATAAAGTTCTCCTGTGTCAAGGGAAAGTTCCCATTTCAGGATGTAAGTTTATTTGTGAACTGTGCTATCAGGAAACCCTGGCAACTAAATAAAGGGGACAAAGCCAAGTGACCCTATAGGAGAAAGTAGGTATTTTTGCTCCGTCGAGCTGTCACCTTCATGATTCCCGGCTACCTCTGCCCCACTGTTTTACCAAATGTCTAAAAAGCACAATCCCAACCAGAAGGTCTGGACCTAGCAATTCATGAGGAAGTGCCTATGGATGTGTGGGCTAGCTATATTATGTTCCCACCTCCCCCTGTACCCCAGAGGCTGACCCCCATGACTACATCAAGGAACTCCCCTGCCTGGGCTGCAGGTTGGGTTTGGCCAACTGCCAAGAGGTGACTGAATTGGAGGACAGAAAGGTTGGGGTATTTCTCCACTTTCTCCCTGCGATCAAAGCCTCCTCCAAGGTCTCAAATCTTTCTGGGATCCATTTCCCCATTTCCTCTTCTTGCCTTTTCAAGCACAGGGGAGGTAAAAAGCTTCCTGGGGTTGCTAATTTCTCAATACTCCTCTTTTTGGTTCTCTTAACCCCACCCACACCTCTGAATGTGGTCCATTCAAGTCTTTTCATCAGAACCATCAGAGTTGCTTCTTTTTCCTACTGTTAGCCTGACTGGTATGATCTGTACAGTCTCACCTAAGGGCTGTCTAAGCTGAGCCAGGGTTCTCTCTAGAGCAACGAGTTCAAAGGAAATCAGATGTTCTTTTCTCTCCGGCTTTCAGAACTCATTAGCCATTTTGGCTCTATCCAAATTAAATGATTCAAAATGATGGCAAACCCTAATCTACAGAGGAGAGAAGTTTTTATTCCTTCATTTACTATGTGCCAGGCACTGTTCTGATTCTGGGGATATAGTGATAATGAACAAGACAGACAGAGTCCCCGCCCACACGGTGTTTACAGTCTAATACCAACTATCTCCCAGAGGTCAGAGAGCCCACCAGGGCAGGGGTAGAGCCAGAGGGCTGAGTTTCCTTAAGTCCTGAGCCTTCAGCAGATTCTCAAAGGAATCTATGGCCCAAACATGGTTAAGAACTACCAAGTTAGACCAAATTACCTATTAAGTTTCCCCCTTGAAAAGGGGAATAATGACCCACTCACTCCCAGAAGAAGCTTGGTGCTCTCAACTTGAATTTGTGGGAAGCGTGTTGGCACACACCCACGGTGGCATAACCACCCACCTTTCTTGCCTGCTCCTTGCTTCCCAATATTCTCCACAAATCCCCTTCCCCTCTCCTTCAGTTACTCACACGTTTATAATTAGCCCCACGCCCTTCTCCAAGTCCTTCCCTCAGGGCCCACAAACATTGACAGCACATCGTGTTGCTCAGCTGTTTTTATGAATGGACAGGGGTTGGGAACAGTATTCAGAGATATGCCCTCTCTGAGAGCCTGCGTTTCCAGCAAAAGCAGTGCGAGTGAAATTTCTGCCTCAGTTAACGTATTTATGAGACTCATGTAGGAGCACAGGACTGAAACTGCCATTTCTGGGGAGAGCCCAGGTGACTGAGGTGAACTGAGGGGGCTGTGAGGAGGCAGCAAAGCCTGGGGTCTGTGTGCCTCCCTCAAACCCTCCGGAAACATCTGAGTTTCCTCAGAAAGGTTTCAATAGGCCATGCTGGTAATCCAATACTTCCCCTGCTCTGGGTCAGACAGGACATGGGCAACAGCCTGGTGCCCTCAGAAAAGGTTGCCAGGTTGGCAGAAAAAGCCCCCTTCCCTTCATCTCCCAGTGCTACACCTGGCAGGCACCCAGCTCCAGGCCCAGCTGTCACTCTGCACCCCCTCCACCTCTCCCCAGAAAAGCTCCCTTTACCCAGTACCTCCAGCGTCCTCATCTGAGGCTGAATTTAAGTCCAGTGAGAAAGCATACCGGGAAAGCAGACAGGGCTAGAGAAACGGAAGAACTAGTCCTGAGGCTGCATGGGGGCCCCTTAGCCCCCCAGAGAATCAACAGGACTCCCTTCTCATTCGATGAGATGGTCCTGACAGGCGACTGACACCGCCTGAGCTGGGGCAGAGGCAGGTCCGCTCCACAACACCCCTTGAGGCAAGCCCCCTTCAGAAAGCGTCAGAGGTGTATTTATAGAAACAACTCAGATTCACTTCTCTCTCACTTGCACTCTACTCCATCTCTTCTTTTAAGCTCCCCACCATTCCCAGCCGAAATGAAATCATGCAGCAAATGAGGAGAAGTTGGGGGAGACCCTTTATTGTAAAGGGCCTGCGGCTTGGAGCAGCCAGGTGGGGGCTGTTTGGAACAAGGACAGAAGGAGCTGCCTGGGGTGGCCGTCTCCCTTCCAGCCTCCCTCCATCAAGAGTAGAATGGGACACATTGCAAAACAATCTTCCCTCCTCCCCCAACAGATGGAAGAGAGGAACGCTGTGGGCAACATTTACCTGCTGAAATTGGGAGGACACTGTTGATGAAAGTAGGCTGGGACACGATAAAGCGGAAGAAAAGCTGAAGATAAACTCCCAAAGTCGTTGGATTCAGGTCAACCATGCTGGCTGGGGTCTGGAAAGTGTCAAGTTCTCCGCAGCCGTGCCTCCAGGCTGCCGTGGTGCCTTGCTTATCTCTGCTTGTCTTCCTTACTGCTGTTTGCCTCTC